ACCAAGTGTCACAGACTCGCGAAGTCATCATGTAAATATCACAGGCTTCTTCAGTTCCTGAATCTATCTGGTTAAATATGGGGTTGTTATAATATAGCGTCTTGGTGTTTCAATCGCAGGGCGTTGGATAAGACGATATCCGACATTGAGATGCGCCTGGCGGCGGCTAGAGCCGCCCAGGCGATGAGCCAGGGCATGTCACCGGGTGACTCGGAGGGCGACCAGGGAACTGCGCGGCATAGGATGTCTTTTGTCATGGGCGTTTTCACCACTTTTGCTAACCGGAAGCGGAGAGATTCAATAAGGCAGACATGGATGCCACAAGGCAGATGCCTTTCCCCTGCCATTTTGTACCGTGGAGCCCTTTTTTTTTTCCTTTCATTTTTTCATATCTAAAATATTGAACATTTGTAGGTGACCAGTTGCGAAGACTGGAAGAGAAGGGCGTTGTTATCCGTTTTGTTATTGGACGCAGGTATGGACTTCTTTTGAGTTGGAGATAAAAACAGACGGTGACACAATGTTCTTCTTTAGTACTATATGTTCCTGAAATCTGGGGATTCTTTCTTGTAGTGCAAATCCAAACCCGGACAATGAGGTCGACCGTGCAATTGATGCAGAAGATAAAGAATACAATGATATCTTGAGAATTGTATGTTCAGTTCAGTTGATTAGTTTCAACTTTTCCCCTTTTCTTTGATCAGTGACTGCCAGTCAACCAGCAGTGATGTGTTTGCAACATTAATCATCCTATACAGAATCATGTGGAAGGCTATGGAGGGCTCCCTATGAAGATCCAGATGTTTCTTTCCACTGCTCTTACCACGTGGGATGCTGATTTCTATGTAAAAGCTGACGATAATGTTCATGTCAACATTGGTATGCAAAGACGGGACCCTTTCGACTTTGATCAATCAACTATAGTGCCGGTGCATCACACTGAGATTGGGGGGGCTCTTTCAATACAGGTATCACCAGATCGATTTTGGCGCGACACAGGATGAAACCTCGGGTATACATTGGCTGCATGAAATCTGGACCCGTTATTGCTAAAAAGTAATGCTCTATATTTGCAGACTTTCTTTTTCACATTTTATGGATTTTATTCACAAACATGGTTCATCTCCATAGCAGTTGAGAAAGCATTTCCACATTTACTCACTATAAGGACATTTCTTACTAGCAATTCCCTAACTGCTAATTTCATCTTACCAACATTTGTTTTCAGAAATGACATAATAAAGTTCCTGTCTAATGTTAACAGTGACTCCAAGTATTATGAGCCAGACCATTGGAAGTTTGGAACCGAGGGCAACAACTACTTTAGGCATGCAACACGGCAGCTGTATGCTGTCACCAGGGATTTGGCAACTTACATATCAGCAAACCGGTGAGTTTAAATGATGGTGTGGAATCCTATAGACCAGACTGACCAAACTGTTTATTTCATATTTTCTGAACACCACTTTCAGGCATATCCTGCACAAGTATTCAAACGAAGATGTATCATTTGGCTCTTGGTTGATTGGGTTGGAAGTGGAGCATGTTGATGAGAGAAGCCTTTGCTGTGGTACTCCCCCAGGTTGGCGTCTCCATTTACACTTCAAATTTCCATGCTTCTTTGGTATTTACTCCTGTAGCACCTAGTTAATTACTGCATGCTCATTGGGATAGTGGCATGATTTTGCTTAAACTTGAAGTTAGTTGCTTTACTGTACTGTTTAGTTGTGCTAGTTTTGTAGTTTTTAGTAGGAAAAGATTGATATGAAATGTGTAACAACTGCACTTTTTGTTAGTCAAAACTTGCTTTCTCGAGCTTTGTGTCCTCTGTTTACCAGCAATGTCCTCTGCTTACCAGCAATGGTCCCATACTTTAACCAGACATGCTCATAGTTGACAAATTGGTGTTCAACAACAATCGTACCAATACAATCCAAGACCCCTGATCATGTACCGCTGCTCCTAGGCAGGACGGTGGCGCCTACCGCCTAGCACCTAAGGGATGCTTAAGGTCTAGGCAGCCACCTTGGGCAACAGTGGAGCCTGAAATTGAATGTTTCATTTATCTGAAGGCTACCGACACTGAGCAGTAGATGATTACTTTTGAACAAACTCGAGATACGATGATTTTAATGCCGCTTGGAAAAATTTTCCTGCCATTGTGAGTGTACTCCTTGTTGACCTTCTAAAGCAATGAGCTTCTTCAGCCTGTTCGTTTCGGCTGAAACGATCGTGGATTATTACTGCTGGCTGGTTTGGTGTGAGAGAAAAATACTGTTCTGGCTTATAATCCACGATCGTTTACGACCAAGCGAACATGTGTCTGTCGGTCTCTCTATGTCATGGTTCTGTCCTTTTCACTTCACTGTTGCTGTAATTGGTACTATTCTTCCTCTATGAATGTACTCTCTGTACCTGATCAATCATCACTGCCAGCTCTGATCATTTATATGCATGCTTCCAGATGCACCTTGAAGGGAACCTTATGAACGCATGAGTGTTTAAACACCTATTTACCTTTCATAAATATGCCGCTAACCTCTTCAGCTAATTGTTCTCACTTCTCACTATAATCTGCACAAATGTCATGTCCCATCTGTGATGATCTTGCAGACTGCGAATGGAAAGCGCAGGCCGGGAACCCATGTGCGGCGTCCTTCGACTGGAACTGCACTGGCATCTGCAATCCGGTGGAGAGGATGACAGAGGTGCACCGACGATGTTGGGAAGGCCTTGGAGCCGAAGGGCACGCACAGTTTTGACTTTTGACAGCCAATAGTTGGCGGATCATTGTCGCACCATTTTTTTTCCCTGTAGGGCCTTGTAAAGTTGTAAGTAATATGCGGAGATGAACCTGTATGCAATGGCTCAGTTTTTTCAGATGTGCAGCAATGCCATTGTTTCCTGTTCAGTTTGCGTGCGGACATTGGGGTAGAACATTAGGAGTACAATATGCCATTGAGTCTCTAATAACTGAAGATGATACCTCACTGGATGCTTGTCGTGAACTGGTTGATCTCTGAAGAATTCGCTCTGTCAGATTTGGCTGTGATTCTGAGTGGAGTATCAGGTTTCTCACGGAAAAGAAGAGAAATGGAAAGCTTTCTAAAATTCTACCAGAATACGTAGCTCCAATGTGTGTTTCTTTTTTCGATCACAACTTTTTCTCAAGTAAAGTATACATGACGTTGAGATTTTTTTTCCCCATCTGTGTTGAAACAAAATTGCGGACACACAAGCTGAGTACATCTGTTTTAGATGGAAATACATGCTGACGGCTGAATACTAGTACATGTGCAGCCACAGAGAGATATACATCGAAATACGTCATCACAAATGAATCAAATCAAATTATCACGAATACGAAAATACGGTACATGTCGGTGTACTCACACACGTGGCGCCACGACTCGTCCACGGAGGCCAAGCAGCAGAGGCCAGGGGCGACACGAATCGCCGTCGCCTCCGGCGTCCGCCTCCTTGCAAACGGAACTGAAAAGAGCCTTTTACATTTGTGTCATTAAAAAAGTTTGAAATTACACATAAGTTATTAAAAAAGTTGACCGCACACAAGTGCTACTGCTCTAAACTTCTTTGTCTTACAGGTCATTCCGTCCTTGTTCTGTTTGTTTTTCGCCGTTTGGTAGCCCTTACAGGGATACCGGCCAGTGAAATTATCTATATTGCCCTTGAGCGGTAGCCGTCCATCCTCTCCTTGCCTGCCCCGCTCATTAGAGATTGGAACTACAACATCGATACTAGTACAGAGACCGAGAGACGAGCGAAGAACTTCCTGCTCGCCTTCCTGCTCCTCCTCCTCCTCCGCGGCGGCGGCGACGGCGACGGCCACCACCTCACCCTCTCTCCTGGCGTCGCGGCCGCATCATTGCTCGTCTCGCGCCCTCTCGCTTCGCCTTCTCGCCTCCTCCTCCTCCTCCATGGCGTCTGCGGCCACCACTGCGCCGCCATGGCGCGGCTGGCGGCTGCATGGGGCCAAGGCCGCCTCCGGGACGCGCCGGCTGCCTGCTGCTCGAAGCTCCGGCTCCGCCCGATGGTTCATCGGGGGGACGACGACGAGCCGCAGGCGGGCGAACAAGCAGCGCATGGCCTGCAGACGACGATCGTCGCGGGGGCGCCGAGTTCTATAGCAATGGGGATCGCTACGAGGGCTAGTTCCACAAGGGTTGCGCAATGGCGCTGCGGCCGTTTGAGCATGTGTCGTGGCCACGCTGGGGCGCTGGGGCTCGGGCGAGACCGCAGGACCGGGGTTCGCCAGACGACCACCACCGGGAGGTCGTTCTGCCGAAGTCATGGTCGGGTTGTTAGGGAGCTTGCCAAGGCTGTGGCTGACCGACCGCCGCCGAGGGTGCAGGGCGGCTGGGGCCGGAGCGTGGGCGAGGGCCGCCGAGTCGCATGGCGGGTCGGTGCCGGAGACGCCGGGCGGAAGGGCGGCCGAGGTTCTGGAGGTGCCGATGGCAGGTCGAACCACCGGCCGATCAGGTCGACGACGGAGAAGGTTGCGTTGCGGTGCATAGGAGCGTCGGGCGTGGGAAGAAGATAAGGAGGAACAATCGTAGTGAACGCGGTTTCCACCGCCTAAGGGCAACGTAGACAATTTTTCTAGGCGGTCCCACCTGTAAGGGCTACCAAACGGCGAAAAACAAACAGAACATGGATGGAATGACTTATAAGGCAAAGAAGTTTAGAGCAGTAGCATCGAGTGTGCGGTAAATTTTTAATGCCTTATGTATAATTACGATTTTTTTTTAATGGCACACCTGTAAAAGGCTCAACTTAAAAAAAAAAAAAAAAAAAAAACCGCCCCGGCGGCGCCACCCGACCTCCCTCTCCATCTACCGGTCACCTCCTCCCCTTGCCCCTCCGGCCTCCTCCCGTCTCGTCGTCACCCTACGCTCTGCTCCATCCTCCCCCCGTGTCCAACCTACTCCTCCGGCTACATGGGAGCGCGGGCTCCCTAGGGTGTCTCGACCGCCGCCGCCATGTTCGAGGGGGTGGTGAGCCAGGTGCTCGGCGGCCTCCTCCGCCGCTATGTCAAGGGCATCCAGAAGGAGCAGCTTAAGATCGGCATCTGGAAGGGTCAGTCCTCGATTCCCTCCCCCTCCTCTCTAGCGCCGCTTTTGCCCAACCGCCGCACTGTAATTCGTGCCTGTCCTGTTTCCGCAGCATTAGTTTTGGAATTCTGTGGCTGCGTGCGTTGCTGCTCTCTTTTGGGCTTTTCATCAGTGTAGTGCCTGATCAGTGTAGTTTTGGGTTTTATGTGTCAGTTTGCGCATTGTTAAGTGTCACGGTTATTTTGGCTTTACGTTACTACTGGATGTTATGCTTTGAATTGCTAAGTAATTACTCGTAGTGTTAATACTCATGCGGAATCTACTGTCTATCTGATTGTGATTATGTTTCTGGTATACCCACTGATCTGCAGAAGAAATACTGCTCGAAAATGTAGAGCTGATTCTGGAAGCCTTTGACTACCTGCAGCTGCCATTTGCGCTCAAGAATGGTATCGATTTTTTAATCCAACTGTACTGATTTTCCTGTCTGTTAACCATTGCATGGTTGTAAACTTTTAGTTTTGTTCTACTGCTTTACAGGACGAATTGGGAAGCTAAGCATCCGGATTCCTTGGAAAAAGCTTGGATGGGACCCTATCATTATTGTCATAGAAGATGTCTTTGTTTGCGCATGCCCAAGGGAGGATTCTGAGGCATGTCATTGAATTTGGTCATAGTACAGTGCTCAATTCACTTTGTCAAATCAAATATATGTGTTTCCACCCTTCTGACCAAATACATTCTTTGGTTCTTTATCAGTGGAGCTCAGATTCTCTGGACAAGAGAGAACTAGCTGGAAAGTTGGCCAAACTTAATGCCATTGAGCTTGCTAAATTTTCTAGAAGAGTTACAGGTCAGCAACCTGCATACCCATGTTCCTTACAGGCTTTTTGAATTTATTGATTAGTGATAGGGGGTTAGGACTGGGATATGTCAGTGGGGTAGTTCTAACCGTCGACTAAAAAACATGAAGGGTTATGATTAACCTTCCTTTGTATCCTAACTCTTGAGCCATCTCTATATCCTCAATCTAAGTACCCTTTTGTTGGTTTAATAAATCTCAAAGGTCACTTTATCTTTATAATTTACTTCACTGCTAGCTCAACAACTTCAGTTGTGTCTTCTAGTGGTGACTTTAGGTTTCGTGTTGTCACCATTTTTTATTTTGATTTATTTTGTTTTACCACGTGTCTTTTATATTCTGTTGAATACAAAGTGTCACTGAACTTGTAGCTTAGACAAAGCCTCACAAGTTTTCATGTTATATATACTAAGTATGTGTGTAAGATGTGTTTATCAAAGAACCTTCATAAAAAATGATTTGAAGATTTCCCATGATATACTCTATGTGATCACTTGCTAACATGTTTCTTGTACTCGAACTTATCATAATGTAACGTAATTGCTGCAAGTCTCATCTCATGTGTGTTCAGAAGAGTTATGCAGTTTACACTATTCATGGTGTTCCCTATTATTTTGACTTCTAGATAACCAAACGGGACAGTCGTTTTTGTCCTACATATCAGCAAAGGTAACAAACTTGCATTATTTCATTTAAAGATCAGTAGTTTTGAAGGTTGTGCCGAAACATAGGTTATTTTATCACTTTTGTTTGATTTATGATGGCAGATACTGGACAGTATCCAAGTTTCTATGCGAAATGTTCATATTGTGTACATGGATACCCACAACGTTCAAGTATATCTCTTTTTTATTTTTCCAATTTCTGCTATTTAGTGTCTGTATAATTTCGTTTTGTTATTTAGTGTTGTGCATGGTTTTATTTCAGTTGTCGTCCAAGTTTGGTTTTATTATTTCCTCAAAATGATATCTCAACCTTTTTTCTAAAAAAAAATTTACCATGAAGGTGGTCAAAAAATACCCAAGCTCATTTTTCATTGATGTCACAATGACTGCGGAATTTAATTTGTATTACCTTAGCGTTAGAGGTCCCTTTGATTTTCTTTTTCATGCACCCCTCTCAAGTCTTCATAGATCTAGTGAATCCAAAATCTCTCTCTCTCTCTCTCTCTCTCTCTCTCTCTCTCTCTCTCTCTCTCTCTCTCTCTCTCTCTATCTATCTATCGATCTATCGATCGATCGATCTACCGATCGATCTATCGATCTATCTATCCATCAAATTGTAATTGGGTTGCTTGAAATAAAAAAAAATCAAATAACATCTGTCGGCAACCTAGTTTTAGTAGACTTCACATCTATTTTCTACATCTAACATTCTGACCTTATGTGTTATCCTTTTTTTTGTCTTTTTATTCCGTCGAGGCGTCAACTACTCTGACTTATGCCTATTTTCTTGGTGAAATGTTAATAGGGGAACTTCGTATTTGGTTTGGAATTCTCAAGTCTCTCAATACAAACAGATACCCAGAAGCAAAGTTTTACTATGTGAGTTCATCCAATCATTCCATTCCTTTTATTCTAGAAGCTGCAGTGAAGCAATATATTGAGAACAAACACTTCTACTATCTTCTAAATATAATGAAGCGCAGTTCTCCTGCGTTTTCGAGAAAAAAAACAAACACTTCTACTATTCTAGATAAAAATCCATTCTTCTGTGTATACAACTTATTTGTCATCATTTGTCACTGAAGGTTAGGATTAGAAGGACATGTTTTGCTTAGAAAAAATATTTTTGGAAGAGAAAAGTGCACTGGTGGTCCTTACACTTGTCCAGCGTTGTCCTATGTGCTTTTAAAATACAGATCTAGGCCCATAACCTCAATCAGCAAGAAATAACATATGTGGCACTCTTGCATGGAGCCTGAGATGTTCCATGCTCTACTATGTGTTAATGGCCGTCGTTAGTTATTATTGTCATGTATAGTGCAATCAGGTGTCATGTTTGCATGCCTCACTCATAGGTTAAGTTTGTGATGATTATGGTGATTTGGACCTCGGGTGACACGCGAACAAGTTTAGGGATCCAGATTTGTGTTACAAGAGTTGACGCCATGGAAATGCAAATGCCAAACTCTAGCTGGAAGCTGACTGAAACCAGTTTTCATGAAGGTACCTATATTTCACTAGCACCCTGGTTTGAGCCTTGGTGGGTGGCCTCCTTGACAGGAGACTCTACCAACCGAGCTATTGCTCGGTTCTCATATGCGATTACTAAGAAATAATGGAAAATGAGAAATGCTTGCAGTTATGTGAAGATGCCTTAGTGTTGCAATGCATTGGGAAATATTGCCACTTTACCAGCTTAAATTAAATATGGAAGCATACTGAAGAAACTATCATTTCACATGAATGCCTCCACTCTTGAAGGAGCCCAAAACTGCATGAGAATAATTTACTTTTAACTCAAAAGTTCTGCCTTTGGAGTTCCTGTGGTGCTCTAAATTCGCTTATGGAGCACTTAAGATACCTGATTTTATTTACGGATAAAGCTGCATGAATAGACTTATGTTTCTGGTTTGCAATACACTGAAAACTGTTAGGAAGTTCTTACAAAGCCGTTAAAATTTGCTCTTGCATATTTTCAAGAAACATTCTTGCCACATACTTTGTATGCTTAGACATTTTAGCATTTCATGCAGTTCATTCAAACATATTTGATTTTGTATTAGATATGTTAATGTTCATTGTCTTTCTGTGCAGTTCATTGATGGCTAGGTCAAGACAAGATGAAGTAAATAAGATAATAGAGATATCAGATGTTGGAATTTATTGTCATCAGTTGGAAGAACAACAGGACCTATGCCATGTTGGTGCTCTTGAAAATGGCCACTCAAGGGATGATTATCTTGTAAATCCATTTTGTGTGACCGTATCTGTGCTTGTAAGCGCATTCTTCAACGTTGATACTGTCATCAGTTTTCTTCATAAGGCTTCCACTGCTTTCTAACTACTCATATTTATTTAGTTACCTTTTTGCTGAATGAATATGACCAGCCTGATCTAATGCAATAATGTCTTCATTGTAGGCTAACAAAGCTGCCAAGCTTGATGGTACCCCTCAGTATGACATGACTGCAGAGCTAACTGCATTGGTTTGTTTTTTTTTAACTTCCTCTAGATGTGTAATTTTATAAGCAGCACATTTTATTTTATCATCAGTGAAGAACTTCAGTATCACCTGCTTATATTTTCATCTTGTTTCTGTAGGCCCTATCTGTTGATGAAATCCAGCTCCAACAAATCTTAAATCTTTGTGATTACTTCACTATCTGTGCTTTGCGAACAAAGTAAGCTATTCTAATTTAGATGGCTAAAAGCCCCTATCCTATTTTCTTATTAAATGCATTGCCATTTATTTTTATACGGAAATCATGAGTTTCTTTTGCTTTTGTTGTTCTTCATAAAAGATACTATTCCTGCCTTGAAGACATTCTCTGTTCCACTCACCCTTGATCCTTCTACCTTTGAATGGATATGGTTGTTATTTTTATATGTTAGAATTGCCACGATATAGCCAGCAAATGAGGGTATGTAATTTGTAGCAGATACTACCATCTGAGTAACCATTCAAGAAAAGGTTTCTGACAACAGTATTTTTACAATGGGACTCACGTTTTGAATATCTGGAACTCATTGGGTTTCTGATTTGTTGAATGTCAATATTGGATTGATTTTGAGTTACCCATAATCGCTGATGCAGCAAACAAAGTCTAACAATATTCCATAACTTCACAGATATGGTCGTTACCGTCCATCTCAAAGCTCTATATCTAAGAGATGTAAAGGTTGGCAGAGAATGTGGTGGCAATATGCTCAGAATTCTGTATTAGCAGATGTTCGCAGAAGACTGAAGAAAACTTCATGGCGATGGCGTTATTTGAAGCAGCGACTGTAAGCTTGATTTTCCATGTTCAATTTGATCACTGACATTTGAAATGAGAAGAAATACTGTATTAATTGAATGGCGTAATGTAGGCATGGTGAAATTGATCTTGGAAGTTGTTCGTTACAGCAATAAAGAAAAATATATGGTTATGATCTTCTTTTGTGTCAAGGTTAGGTTGTCAATCACAGTAAATGCACTAAATTATTTGATGAATATGTTTTAGTTTCCCTTTTTCTGTTAGCAAGCATCAGGGGAGACTAAAACAAAGCATGAAAGCTATCTGCTGACAGATAGGAATATCAAACCAAAATTCTCATAGATGATGTTTGAAATTGATGGCCTGTTTTCCTTTTGTAACCCTAGAAACACCACTCTTGATTTGAGTCCATCAGCAGAAGAAAAGACCTTAAATAAAAAGTATAAATAAGCATACAACTTTTAATTAGATTTATTACAATTGCGAGAAACTTTCAATTTATGATTCATGTTCACTTGTTTGTACTCTCATTTTGTTCCTGTTGCTGTGTTACACTGCCACTTTGTTGTTTTGGGTCTTTCTTAAGGTAGAACCAACACTTACGTCTTTTGCTTATACAGCATTGTTTTTTCTACCACTTTCCTTGTTATTGGATTATAACACACATTTATATGGAAGCCTTTAGTTGTGTCTTTTCTATATGTTTGACAGGAAACACCTACTAAGATATGTCAAATTGTACAGAATGAAATTGGAGCTTTTGCAGAAAGGACAGGTATCCTTTTCCTGGTAAACTTTAAATTTTTCATGTTTCCGAAGTAAACTCAATGAACAATTGCTGTAGTTTAGTGCAAGTGTACAATAAGCTTAAGGCTGGGTAGCTGTAATTTCGCTTGCTGATTCCCACATTTTTAAAGTTTACGCATAAGTCATATGCACATGAGCTTGTCATTTGTCCCTGCTGTGTTTGGCTGAAAGACCTGATTCTGACATTGAAACCACCTTATCTAATTTGGAATTTTGGTCGCACTCACTATAAAACCCCTTTTCGGGCTTCTTTCAGTTCATTATGCTGTAGATATTATTTCCCTATTCGAAGTAAACAAAACTTTATGGATGAAATTCTCTCTAGAGAATTTTGTCAATTAGATTTTGTTGAATCAGTAGATTGTTCCCTAGTGTGTATAAATATGGTTTCTGCATATCATTCTTCTCATGATTTTTTCATTGTTTAATGTTCGCCATTTTTCAGATTGTTAGTGAAGACATTCTACAAGAGTTGGAAAATATGGACAGAGAATGTGATATAGATGACATACTTAACTACAGAACAATTGCAGAGCAACAACTGCAGGTTGTTGATGATTCTATTAGAAGAACGTTGAGGGTGATTGTGAATTACATTTCATTCAGTTTAGTCATGTTGAAAATGTCTTTACCTAAGCATTTTTACCACTGTACATCCATATATGACATCAATGATTCATGATTGGTACAGCACTTGTCCTGGGCAGTACCTATTTAAGATGGTTTGATGGTGTTTGAACTTTTGTTATCCTTGTAACTAAGCAAATATTTGCTCTCCAAAGGGACTTTAGTTTCCTGTTAGTACACACTGTTGGAAGGCAACTGCTGTGAGCTGCTTAAAAAAAACTGATTGAAGGCACTTGCCTTTAAGGCCTATCAAATTGCATGTCGTGTATATGTTCCTTAAAGTGAGGCTGAACCAGGGGTATCATAACATTTTTGGGTGTAGAAAGTAACTTAACATCATGTTTATCTAATGCATGCAATATTGGAAGGTATATATCTTTAGTTGCTCAGCCTTCACATTTTCAGCATAACCATGATGACATAGTCCTTTATTCTTGTTTAATAAGAATGTATTTGCCTTGTTTTTTGGGTGCTATCTATGGTAACACTTCACTGATCATTGGCAGGAATCATTGGTGAAATCTTCCAAAGATACTCATAGTCCAGGAAGTCCTCGAAGCAATGAACAGTTGACAGGGGCAAGCCAGGGATGGCTAAACTGGCTTTCTCTTGGAATGCTTGGTGTTGGTGGAACAGCTGACAGTAGCTCATTTGCTGGTGTTATTTCTGAAGACATTATTAAGGTTATATTATGTGGTCAACCAATTTTGTGCAATCTGCAGTAGGAGCAGGCCATTCTAAAATCTTTGTTTTCCATTTTCAGGATATATATGAGGGAACGGAATTTCATCCAGTTTCTTCTGCTGAAAATTGTTTGAAGAAAGAAAACTACTATTCTTTGTTTGTTAGACTATCTATTTCTCAGATAGTCACAACTGTCACCTCCAGGCAAGTGCTGCAGTTTGTTTTCTTTTCTGGCCCCCTCCACGACTAATAATGTGACTAATTTAGTGAATATGGCATGCTGTCATGTTCTTCAAAAGCACTGAGTAAAGCCAATTACTCAAAAAGTTGGACACATCCAGTAATTATTTCTATTACAGCTATAAAGATGTGGTTGACACTTGGTCTTTATAAGAGTTATAACAACTTGCAAGGGAGGAAAATACATCAATTAAAAGATGCATCGCTGTGGCAATTGAACTCTACAAGCAGCTTTGTGAAATACTGATGTGTTAAGTCTTCATAGAATTCTTTCTGGCCTAATTGAGAGTTCTGACAACTCGCACGAAAACTGCCATCAGAAAGCCCATTTTTTCATGTGCTGGATAACTCAGGCTGTGTTCAGTTATTTTGTAAGGGTGCCCAAAACGCCCCTTATCTAGTTATCCTTAGCTTAACCAAAATCCTTTAGGCTAAAGCAAACTTGTGGTAGCTAAGATTGAAACCCAATAAGACACACAGGAACCAAGATAAGATAGTAAAGTATACAGAAATGCTTTTACTTTGAGCATGAATAAATGCTGTTTTACTTCTGGTTATTTTGTTCTTTTTATCATATGCATATACTATATTTAGCATCCAATGGTCAAGATTTCTTTTGCTGCGTAAAGTTCACTTGTTTAGTTGTTCTTGCTTCCTGCCTTTTCCTCTTTCCTCTTTCCTGGAGGCTGGAGAAACCTGGGTCTTCTGGGCCTTTCTTTAGCTCTTCTTTTATTTTCTCAAGCGAGATGTGTTTCCTTTTTTGCTTTTCTTATATATATAAATAAATATTTACAATAGTAGGGGCTTCCCCTACTGTTTTCCCTAAAAATACTTAAAGAGGGATGAGGGGCCCTTTGTTATCGACTAACTTTTCTACCCGCATTGATGGTCTAGGGGGTTTGGCATGAAGCTTGTAGATACAATGTTTTCTGGGCTTGGCATGGAATGTAAAATATGGGATGATTCAGCAACTATTCTTGCTTGGCTTGATTCTCTTCAGGTTATCAACCCACTGAATGAAACAAAAATCTTACGGGCTGAAAAGGTACACCACAGTTTAATCCTCAGATCTTTTTGTCCCCTCTTGTGGGTTGGTTATATTTATTAAATTGATTGATATATATTTTAGTGTAGCACTGGTGATGGTCTTGGGGCACCTGTTATCAGTATCCAAGTTGATTTTCCCAAGTCAAACGAAAGATGGGAAGCTTCAACAAGAGTACTTATGTTCTTTCTATTCAGTTAAAAGAGAAATTTATTGCATATGTGGTATTCATAAATGTTGATTATAGGTATGTTGTCGTGTTTCATTTCAGGTCGTTGTCCAGGAATTCAGTGCCATCTATGAACCAGAATTCTTTGTTAATGTCCTGCACATCTATGATCTGTTTTCCTCTTTCCAATTTCAGCATGATAGGGTAAGTATTTAAATACTGCTAACATTGGTAATGAAGAAAGAGATGGATACAATAGCCAATAATGCAAATGATTTCTCAAGTGAGACTTTTTGAAAAGGTTTGGTAGTAGAATAGAATTTAGAATGCTTGCTGTTGTTACCATAACCCTCTGTAATTTTTTTGTTCGTTTGGAAAAATGTAAATTCAGTTCCTCTTTACTTCTATAAGATTATTAGATCAGCTACCTTGTGACGCCTGCCTTCAGTCATATAATGTTTTTTGTTTCCCTGGACCTGACATTAGCTCATTTATTATTTCCTTATTGGGCCATCGAAATACTTAACTATACTGTATGCTGGGTAGAGAGACCTGGCATATTTCATGCAAATCTTCCTGGGAGAAATGTTATGGATTGCTATCCTGATTAATGCAGGTGGTTTCTTCTCTAAATCGGTTCGATAATTTGGGAACAAGACTTGTCTCCAAACTGAAGTATCTCCTCATCTCCCCTTTCCTTTTCTGTTCACACTGCACTATGCTTGTACAAGTTGAGTAACATTTTGATCATAATTCAAGGTACATGTCTGCTAATCGTAAAAAACTTATTTGGGATTTGAGGATTCATCACTTCGTCATTAGGCTACCATCACAGAATTGTGAAAGGAAAGAACTTGCCATGGTATGTTCTAATGCTGAATAACATTGCCTTGCATTTTTTGCTCACATCAATACCATGATATTTATGTGCACATAAATTCTACAGATTAAGTTCCCAAATTCATGTTTGAAACTGATGGATACCAATTTTCCCTGGACCCAACCGGAACTTGATATGGCCTTGTTTAATTTATTTCAAGTTTGAAATTCAAATTTGACATTTGATATGTTTGTAAATAAATCATGTAAGTAAGCAAAGTTGGAGGATGCAAGAAATATATTATCATTTTGATAATATAAGGCCCCGTTTTCCTGTAATATTGTTTCAAAATCTCAGGCTCCTACAAAAATACAAAATTAAATGATGCACTGGCTTAATGTTTTCAGAAGAAAAGATTATTCTAATGGGTCTTAATTATTGTGCCGTCTCTATTTAACTTCAATTGGTTGATTCAGTAGCTTTTGTCTTTTATCATTGAGCAATTATTGTGAAGGGTGGGCCTGGTGCAAGCGGTAGAGTCTTACCGCCTGTGACCGGAAGGTCCCGGGTTCGAGTCGCGGTCTCCTCGCGTTGCACAGGCGAGGGTAAGGCTAGCCACTGACACCCTTCCCCAGACCCTGCACAGAGCGGGAGCTCTCTGCACTGGGTACGCCCTTTATTGAGCAATTATTGTAATTGCAGGTTGTTGATGCTGGGGATGTATTCATTCAGTCTAAAGATACAATTGAGGATATTTCTCGAACACAAGAAAGCAATTCCTTTCTTGACCACATATCAAAAAGCCTTCCTAGTTATTTTTCTGATGATCTGTTACTTGGTATCCAGTTGGATGAGCTTTATAACCAGTTTGAGGTTGGCCTTACTGGGTTTCAGGTCAGACATTGTGCATGGTTTATTGTTCCGTTTTTTGGCTATTCAATATCTATATGAAGCAACAGTAAATGAATGATTGCAGGTGAAGGTATTGCTGCCTGACAAACATAATGTTTCCTCTACACTGGTTAAGCTTGATGCTTCCATTGCACTTCGATTGTGTGTATTCCTAGATGAACCAGTGCTAAAACAATTGGAGGTAAGATTTTTGAAGGACGTTGACTCATTATGTCTTTAATTAATGATCTATTTTTGGTAATAGCTATATAAGACTATAAGTGTATTATAAAGTTTGTTCACCCTAGTTTTTGCAATGTGATTTGTCTGCTTACGTTATTCTCTGCCAATGTAAGTTTCTGTATTTCTGAACTATCGTTTTGGCAGGTCGGTTTTATTGTGCCATTTATTGATGTATACCTCTCTCAGACAATGTACAGTGCCATTGTTAATTTGCCTAGAATGAAAGAAACTAACCTTGTCAAGAACAGTGTGTTTGATAATCCCAAGACACATGGACACAAGAAATCGGCCTTAAATGTGTCTGTGTCTCTGAAGCTAGCCAAGTTGGGTTTACAGGTTGACCTTGATGGTAATTGTGAGGAAAGTTCAGGTCTCATTGTTGGCATTGAAGACATTGATATCAGGTTAATAATTGGCTACTAATTTTTCAACCTTGAATCATTACTATTTTCTGTTCTTTTATGTGAGTTGCTGCTGTGATTTCTAGGTATGCTATCTGCGAATTGTCAGACCTTTCTCTTGCCATGAAGATGGTCAATGTTACTTCCAATTATTGGAAGGATGAATCAGATTCACATGTGCTATGCTTATCTGGGAACTTAACACGATGTCCTGAAAATTCTGTTGAAACTTGCTTGAATCTGCATTATAGAACTCATAAGCATGATGATCAAATGCATCATATATACCAGCTGAATTTATGTGATGTTGATCTGCATGTTAACCCATCTGTTATTGGTCAGATACAGACGTTTTTGAGAAAACTTGATTCAGGACCTTCAGTTGGCAGTGATGTTGAATCCACAATGATTGGTCAGAGTTCCATGAAATCCGGGGCAACTAATGGCATACTTCCCAAGTTTTCCTTGTCAAATTTATGTGGTGCAGATGGCACAGTATTCGCAGGAGTTTCTGTTGACCACTTCCCCTTTTTAGTTGCAGATTACTGTTGTGGATATAGTTTTGGGTGCTTAGGAGCTCAAGATGTTGAAGCACAAGAAAGTTTATACTCAAAGAATGAGCAATGTCATGACACTTCAGGTGTGAATGGTTATCATGCATCAGATCTTGCCAGCAATACACACGGTAAAACCCAGCATTCAAATTGTTCATCCACCTCATCAAATGACCCCAAGAATGCCAGCAGAACTGTTCTGGATCTATCACTTATTTCTGTTAGAGTACATTTTCCTGAATCATGTGGTACTTTAGCAACAATAACCATTCCTGAATCTATATCAGCACTCACTTATTTTGATGCAAGCTCATGGGACTTACTACTGTCTGCTAAAAATTTGACTCTTGCTTCACCATGGACTCCACCAAATATCCATGAGCTGCTCTGGGGCACATCTTCACATCGCAATGCTAGTGCACTCAACGTTCGAGTTAAAAAGGACTTACCTGCACTGTCAACCGAAGTATGTGTTGGAATTCAAAATGTTTGTTGTGTATTGCCATCCAAGTTACTGGCTATGTTTGTTGGATTCTTTTTGTTGGATGATTGGAATCCTATTGCAGAACAGGAATTCCCTGTGGCAGGTAACAATCTTGAGTGCTTGGGAGAATCACATGACTGTGTAACATACAAATTTGAGATCAGTGATTGTGTTGTAATTTTTCCTGTGAAAGAGCAAGATTTCTTTTGTCTAAAGCTGGAGGTTCCACATTTTTTCTGTGAGTTCATTGCAACTGGAAGCTCTGTAGAATTTGCAAAGCGTATCCCCAAAGAATTCTTCAGTTCGGAGTGCATAGTTTCCAGAAGAGTTGATGTCATCTGCATATATGCAAGAAATGCATCCATATCACTTCTAATTGTCAGCGACCATACAGATTTTGTGCTGAAGCTTGATGAGAGCGTTCCTAAGAGAATCCATTCTCTTATTGAAAAGCTTGATGCTGGCATATGGATTCAGGTTCCTTGCAAAGATATACCATACTCCCAGCAGCCTACTTTACCCACCTCAATTATGAGCAAAATATCACGATGCAACTTGATTGCCGAAGGTACCAGATCATCATTGAACTTGTTTTTCAACTTCTTCAAATGTATTTTTTTGTAATATTAGCTTTAACTTTGTCAAATCTTATGCAGATCTATATTTTATAAATGGGATGGAGACAGTTATTGGTGTTGTTGACCAGTTGATTTCGATCGGCAATGAAAGTAAAATGTACAAAGGCAATGCCTTGCAGTTTTTAGATCATAGAAGTTTCTACGAGGGCAACCCTGACCCTAATGAGTGTACCAATCTCACTATTTCGATCAAGGATCTGATGATTCTCTTGGGTCAGTCTAAAGATAAAGTGGCACTGGAGAGGATTGCCACTGCAAACATGGAGTTTGATGTTTCTGCTGTACTAGTTGGTGAAAAACCAGAGCACATGAACTTTGATGTTGTTTCTTTAACGCTGCAGTCATCCGGTGGTTACACTCTCATCTCCATTGTTTCCGATGGGCCATTATCTCCTGTTTTCGTCAAGTTTACAAAGCACCATGCTGGACAAGATGAGATATTACTAAGTGTACCCCTTTTCGAGGTCTGGTTATATTTACAGGATTGGAATACGATTATCAATCATTCCCATTCATATGTGAAAACAGACGTAAACAGTACGCCTGTGGAGCATGCAGCTGCTTTGTCTCAGTTTCCAGAAACGGCATCATCACCACTTATTGCATCAGAATTTGGTTCGCCAGATGACTTCAACTTAGTGCTAACATGTGAAACTATTGCTGGTGTACTCCATATACCTATCTGGGGGAAAGAAGAAAATCACACAAGCAATCACATGGGTGTGACTCCTTTTCCAATGGAAGTGGGCACTCATCATGAGGCAGATGATATTCAATATTGTGAACCAAAAGTTTGCAAGTTTGTCACCTTAACTTTTGAGAGTAAACATTTTGTGATGATGTCAGGTGATAGCTGCACGAATTTTAAATGTGATTTAGAGAGATTGAAGGTAATGCTGGAAATGATTCAAGAGAATAAGGGTACCTCTGTTCCATTTGTGCATATATCTAAGGTTAAATCTTCTGGTTATGTTCATCAATCAGAAAGGAATTTGGAACATGTTTCTGTTGACCTACAAGCTGAATACATGGATGTTAGTTTTTCACACCAGATATTTAACTTCTGGCATAATATGGAACTCAAATTTCCTGCTGCATCATCTGCATCCTCTTTTTATTCCGTGGCATTCAAGGCAGGATTGAGGAAAGGGTCTCTTCTGCTAAATGATGGAAGGGTAAGCTCTGTAACTGTGCTGCTTGTTCCTTTACTAAACATAAACTAGGTGCTTGTTAAATGCTGGGAATGTTTGGTTCTGGTATGTGCATTAATATTATTGGAAGTTGATCTTACGCCATGTCATGTGGGGGCGCCAATATCAAAGGCGCTCCAAGGATCGAGACGCAGCCAGGGCAGTCTCCAAGGGGGCACCAGCTGTAGTTAATGACAATTAGTAGTCTGGGGAAAGGATAGAATTAATGAGAGATTAAGGATGATTAATGGGGAGAGAACCAAGGAGCTTGTGGCTGGCGCCTAGGGGCTGGGCAGTCCTATATATACCCTGTAATCAGCTTATGAGAAGGCAATGAAGAAACAAGTTATCTCCTAATCTACCTCTGCTGCTCTTAATCTCACCCCCTGCTGTGGTAGTCAGGCAAAAACCCTGGCACCTCCATTACCCGGTTCAAGCTACCAGCTGAGAAGCCAAGGGCCTCCAACCCTAGGCGCCCAGGCCCTTGACAACTTGGTATCAGCTAGCCGGCGATCTTCTTCCACCTCCGCCCCACACTCCAATCCAGCAGCCACCTCGCCATCTTCCCCTGCCTCACCCACCGCCTCAACAGCCTCCACTGCCTTGCCAATGGCTGAGCCATCCACCGCTGACCTAGCCAAGATGATCCAGCCCCCTCACCACCACCATGAACGCCACCATCAACGACCTTCACACAGCCAGGTCGCCGCTCTTCAGCCAGTAACCGGCTTTCTCCGGCTCAGGCTCGCGAGGCTCGGGCCACGGTGACCACCACGGTGACCGCCCACCTTTGTTCCAGAGGCTGGACTTACCCAAGTTCGACGGAAAATCCGATCCACCGGCCTTCCTCAACCGATGTGAGTCGATTTTCATCAACAATGAATTGCGGCCGAGGAGCAAGTTTGGATGGCGTCCTACAACCTTGAAAGAGGCGCCGATGTGGTTCATCCAAGTGCGGCAGGAAGAGGAACGCGCCTTCTTGGCGCCGCTTCTCCGAGCTCCTCAACCTCCGCTTTGGGCCGCCGATCCGCTCCAACCCTTGGTGAGTGATGGCGTGTGACGAACTTCGATAGCGAGTACCGTAACCGCTTCGGCGCTGCTTCCTCGCGTCGGCACGCTCACGGAGGTGCAAAGGCAGTACAAGCTGTTCTGGCGAGGATGCGGCAGCCGCTTTCGACCTCGACGTGGAAGTCCACAACCCCATCCCCTCGCCATCGCCATGAGCCTCGCGCGCAAGCCGGAGCTGCGCGCTGAAAGCAGCACTACCCCGCCATTGTTCCAGCTCCGCCTCCGCCACAAAGAAAGCCACGACGGCCTCTTGACGGGGCCACCACCACACCTGCCCTACTACCAGCCCCAGCCCCCCTGCGGCGCCGCTTCTCTCACCGTCGAGGGCCGCCAGGTGAAGTGGCTGTCCCAATCAGAGATGGAGGAGCGGCGCCGCTTGGGCCTCTGTTTCAACTGCAATGAGAAGTTTGCCAGAGATCACAACCGCGTCTGCCAGCACATCTTCCTCCTCGATCTGGCTGAGGCCGATGGCGACGACGATCCTGAGCAGACCGACGCTGCGGTTGCCAGCCCGCTCATCTCACTACTCGCCATGGCAGGCGTCCACTCCAGCGAGACCATGCAGGTCCTCATCCAGCTGGGCGAGGTGTCCTTACTGGCCCTGCTGGACTCGGGCTCCACCCACAACTTCGTCTCCGAGGAAGCAGCGGCACGCACCTCCCTCAAGCTCCGACCCCGCGGCAACATGAAGGTCACGGTGGCGAATGGGGAACGGGTGCCGTGCGTGCCGCGCTCTGTGTGCCGCTTCCTTCTCCTCGCTAGCGAACCATTCTCCACCGACTTCTTCGACTACCTCGGGCGGCGGTTCTGACGTCGCCCCTAAGACCGAGTGGCTGGCCTCCCTTGGCCCGATCCTCTGGGATTTTGGCACACTCACCATGTCCTTCTGGCACCGAGATCACAGGGTGTGCTGGACAGGCATCGCCGGGGGCACCGGCCCTTCTCTACGGACGTACAGCGCAACTGATCTCTTGCCAGCCCTGCTGGACGATCGCCTCCGTCCGTGGCTGCGCGGGCTGCCATGGGTGGAATACATCTACAACACCGCCTTTCAATCCACGCTCAAGACCACGCCATTCCAGCTCGTCTACGGCAGTGAGCCACCCTCCATCCGCTCCTATGAGCCTGGCGAAACCAGGGTGTCTGCGGTGTCCAAGACCATGGCGGAACACGATGAGATGCTGGCTGATGCCGGGGCCCGGCTGGAGCAAGCTCAGGACGTCTACAAGCGGTTCTACAACAAGCATCACCGCGACGTTCACTACAGCGTGGGTGATTGGGTCTGGCTTCGTCTCCGCCATCGCGCCCCGACCTCCCTCCACGGCGTCATCGAAGGGAAGCTGCGGCCCCGGTACTATGGCCCATACCGCATCTGTGCCATCATCAACGACGTCGCCTACCGCCTCAAGTTCCCTCCCCGCGCCCGGCTGCACGATGTCTACCACGTCGGGCTCCTGAAGAAGTTCGTGGGCACTCCCCCGGCCATCCCCCCGGCTCTGCCTCCTATGCATCATGGCGCCACACAGCCGGTTCCAGAACGCGCCTCACGCACCAGGCTGGCCCGAGGCATCCGCCAAGTCCTGATACATTGGCAATGCGAGCCCTCAGCCTCCGCTACCTGGGAGGACATTGACAGCTTCACCAAGCGTTACCCAAGCTTCCAGCTCGAGGACGAGCTGCTCGTCAAGGGGGGGAGAGATGTCATGTGGGGGCGCCAATATCAAAGGCGCTCCAAGGATCGAGACGCAGCCAGGGCAGTCTCCAAGGGGGCACCAGCTGTAGTTAATGACAATTAGTAGTCTGGGGAAAGGATAGAATTAATGAGAGATTAAGGATGATTAATGGGGAGAGAACCAAGGAGCTTGTGGCTGGCGCCTAGGGGCTGGGCAGTCCTATATATACCCTGTAATCAGCTTATGAGAAGGCAATGAAGAAACAAGTTATCTCCTAATCTACCTCTGCTGCTCTTAATCTCACCCCCTGCTGTGGTAGTCAGGCAAAAACCCTGGCACCTCCATTACCCGGTTCAAGCTACCAGCTAAGAAGCCAAGGGCCTCCAACCCTAGGCGCCCAGGCCCTTGACACGCCAACATTCAGAAGATAAAAAAAAAAACAATTCAATGATATTGACTTTGAGAAAAGAGCATAATGTAATATTGTGAATATCACAAAATGGAAACTAACTAGTACTAGCTATTATAAGATATTAGAATATATGGCTAATTTTGTAATCGGAGATCATTATATAATTTTTTAGCTCATAGAGCAGCATGGTGCTGATATGTTTTGACCCAAAGAAGAATTTGGACCATCAGACGGGATCAGGCACAGCACGGATAATTATGTTTATGTTTGCTTCATTAATTGATGATATTAGATAGGTTTGAAGCATCTTGAATTCAGTAAATAAAACAGATTTGTATATGTTCTCCTGAGCTTTTTATACATCAATATGCTGAGTTACATAAGTTCCATTCAAGCTCTAACCTGCTCTTTATTTTTCTTGGCAATGCTTTTGACAGTGGGGCAGTCATGGACCTGTAATAGAGATCTTATTGAAGAATTTAACTGTGCAGTTTAGTCAAATGAAGGATAGGACAGAAATTTCTGCTTTTGTTGACCTTTTAGTAAATTACAATAACATTGACAAGGTAAAATATTACAATGTTCCTGCCTCTTAAATTTTCGCTATGATAGTGCTGAAATAACAACTTATATATTTATAGGTTATGTGGGAACCTTTTGTAGAACCCTCAAGATTTCAGTTACATATGCTAAGAAAATGTGGTGATTGTGGACTGGATCTATCACCCAGTACTGATGTGTGTTTAAGTTCAAGCAAGCAGCTTAATCTGAATATATCAGAACCCTTAATTGAGGTATGTGAATGTGAATTTTTTCTTGCCATGCGTTGTTCAAGAAAAGAAAATTTCTCTTGCCATATAGCAAATGGCGTACTCCCTCTGTTCCAAATTGTAAGTCGTTTTGGCTTTTCTAGGAATGCGGCTTTTGCTATGAACCTAGATGTACGCTATGTCTAGATACATAGTAAGAATTGTGTATCTAGAAAAGCCAAAACAGCTTAATGTGGAACAGTGAGAGTATTCTGTTATAAATCCTAGTGATATTATTGGTAGTTTAACTGCCAGTAAAAAACTCGATTCAACAATCAGGATAGTAGACTCTGCAATGACTATAGTCAGAGTACAACTCAAGATCCAACATTTGAAATCACTTGGATGAAATCACATTCCTAGGAGTGTGTATGTGTGCGTGTGTTTTGTAAGGGGTTCCTAAATCCCCACTTTTTTTTCTTAATACAATAAAGCATCGCGAGAAAAAAAAAGCTCATAAGTGTTTTGGACGATTAGATGCATCTTTGTACTTGTACTCAAATGGTTGTATGCAAAGCTTTTCCCATTTGGATTATATCTGCTACATATCTGGTTTTAAGGAAAATGAGAGGTAGGAGCAGAATTTGGGCCTTTCGGGATTTGGGTCACTTGAATCAGTTGAGGAACACTTAGAATTTAGAATTTACCTATGAGACACAATTTTTTAATTTATTGTTTTGAACTCTTCATTTGCATGTGTAGGCTATCCTCAGACTTAGCCAGATGATTACAGATTCTCTTGATCCAAGTAATGGTAGTGGTCTTCGGGAAGATCCTGGAATCTTGACATTAAGCCATGATGATGTTCGTACCAGAAGATATGCGCCATACATTCTCTCGAATGACACATCATTGCCCTTTAGGTTCAAGGTGTACCGTGGTGCTGTTAATTCAGATGATGTTGACAGTTTCTCTGTAATAGATGAAAACTCTGTACCGGCAGGGTATGCTGTCCCAATTTACGTCAAAGAAACTCTTGATGATTTTTTCTTCCAACACAGAGAAGCGCGATCGTCAGACCATCTCATCGAGAAACGAATGAGTGCTGTATCACACTATATGATCTCCATAGAGTTTGATGGAACGTCAGGCCCTTCAAAGCCAATGTCAATGGACCTTGTGGGCATTTACTTCTTTGAAGTAAATTTCTCTTCAAGTAAAAAGCCAATTCTCGGCGAAGAAAGTTTAGGAGCATTTTCGTCTAATGGAAAAGGCAACGATGGGTTAATTGTGCCTGTGGTGCTCGATGTTTCCTTACAGAACTACAGCAAGCGTATACGAGTTTACTCAACGGTAATGAGTAATGCCCATTTCAATAGTCAGTTACTACACCATTGGATGCATACACAGATTAATGGCCTCCTTTTCTAGGTAATACTATACAATGCAACATCAATGCCCCTCGAATTGAGGTTCGATATACCATTTGGTCTTACATCAAAGGTACATAATCTTCGACATTGTAACCATTTCAAAATTCAGATGAACTTATTATTAGGAAGTCAGTAGTTGCACTTCTATGCCTTTAAAATTTTCACCTCTATACAAGGTAAATAGTTTCCACCAAAAGAACCAAATATGAGATTTCTCAAGAAACTTTATTCTGCAGGTAATAGGGCCCATTCCTCCAAACAAAGAAATTCCACTGCCGGTTCATTTGTCTGAAGCTGGCCAGATTAGGTGGCATCCTGCTGGCAGAACATACTTGTGGAGTGAAACGCGTTCCTTGTCAAGTTTACTTTCACGTGAAAGCAGGGTTGGGTTCATGAAATCATCTGTTTGCTATCCTTCTCACCCTAGTAATGATCCATTTCGTTGTTGTGTATCTGTTGAAGAATACAATGTCCCTTCATCCGTTAGTACCCAGAAAGGCCAGTTGTGCAGTGAAAGATTGAACACACAAGTTTCTGGAAGTTCTACTCCAAATATTTTTAAGCAAAATTTGACAAGGACACATTTTATACGGCATGTCAAGCTTAATACTCCGCTTCTCATAAAGAACTATCTCCCTGTTTGCATTTCCTTGGCAATAGATAATGGTGGGTCTGCACGAGTAGTTTCGCTAAAGGAGGTAAGCTTCTGGTGCCATGCATATATCTTACCTCAGCCGGTTTGGTTTTTCATTTCAAATTTGTGACTGAATTGTATTCACAGGTAGGGTCTGCCTCTATTTTTTTTGTTGATCCCTCCAACGATCTTGGAATTACAATTGATATCCAAGATTATAGGTCCTTGAACATAAAGTTTCCCCGGGCTGAATCATTATCTACTGCAGCAAAGTCAAATGGCTTCAAATTCTCCATAACAGAGTCGATTACTTTCTACTCGAATTTGTCGAATTGTATGTACTTTGGGCTTTTTTTTAAAAAAAAAAAACTTAAGCCCACCGTAATAAAGTTCTGATATTAATTTGTTCTGCAGCTCCTCTTAATGTTATGCTGGAAAAATCAATGGATGCTCGTTCTGGCGCAAGGGAGTTGTATCTTTCTGTTCCATTCTTGTTGTACAATTGCACAGATCTATTGCTTACTGTCACTGAAAGCAGCTCTGAGAGGAGTGGGTCCACCCTTGTGATTCCTCCTAGTTTTGAGTTGGATGGACATGCAAAACATTTGCTTGAAAAAAGTGGTCTTTCTCTTGTTGATCCATCTGTACAGTAAGTGTCTTTCTGTCCTTTAGAAATTCACTTCTTATCTGTTTCTATATATGCTCTAACACTTTTGTGTTTGTATTTCTCCTGCAGGTGCTTTACAGGCAAAATGCCCCAGTTAGATTTGATTGATGGACGCTGCTCTTCTTCAGAGATAAGCTGCACCAGTAACAGTGAGTCTGTAAAGAAAGATTTTGACAATGGTGTTAAAGCTTATATGTTTGCTCCTGATGGGCACACTCCAGCAACTGAACTTTCAGTTAAGTTGAATGCTTCTCCGCCTAATAATGGAACTGAAACAACTCGGCGAAATTGGTCAAATACATTCCTCCTTGTCCCTGCCAGTGGTTCAACAAATGTTACTATTCCCCAGTCATCTACTTCTGGTGCCTTCTTAGTTGCAGTGGCATCTATACCTGTTTCAACAGAACTTTTTGGGAGGACAAGGGCTATTGCTTTCAGGCCAAGGTAATTGAAAGGTTTCCATTTTCATCTACCAACCGTTGTGGCAACAAATTGTTTTTAAGCAGTCATCCTTATCTGCCACAGCCGTATACAGAGTGTGGATTTCTCATGTATAAAATGTGTCAGAGCACTTTTATTTAAGGAAACAACTCCAGTCACTAGAAAGTAAAGCAACTAAATAACAGTTTGGTTGTGTACCAAGAGCAAAAATAAAAATTCTTGAAAACACAGGAGAGCTGCATTTCTTTGCATTAAGAAGAAAAAGGACAAGAACCCTTACAAACACACAACACACCAAACACAAAAAAACACACAAAGCAGTTCAGTTTACTTGCCTTTACAAAAGGCTGCACAGACCGCCGATGACCAACACAATCATGACCCTACCAAACCTAAGCCGGCTACTGTTCCGGCACAATGCCAAGAAGGTGGGTAATTCCTTTAGGCCCGGCCAAAGATCATTTCAGCAGCTCCTCTTTAGCGAGCAATAAAGTTCCAGCTAAATTTGGAGATGCCCATCAGCGATTCCTGTGTTCCCAAATTATCCAAGCTCCTAGGATTATACTAGAGTTGAGTCCTCTTCGGGTTTGATTATCAATCAAGGATTCTGTCCTCTCCCACCAATCATCGAAACAGACATCGTCGATCTGCGGGGTTAGAGCCTGCAGGCCGAGCTTTTGCAGCAGCAGAAACCAGAATTCCTGTGAGAAGGGGCAAGCACAGAGCAAGTGATTGATCAATTCTTCCTTTTATTGCAAAGTGGACAGCGAGGAGCATGTGGTAGACCTCGCTGTGCTAAACTATCGGCAGTCCAGCACCTGTTATGAGCCACCTACCACATGAAAAAACGGCTTTTTCCTGGAGCCCATGACTTCCAAATCCTCTCCCTTGGTCTGAAAGGAATAGCACCCACAAACATTCCTTCATAGGCCGACTTGGCGCAGTATTTGCCGGAAGTAGAGAGGCACCAAATGTGAGAGTCCTCTACTTCAGGTTCTAAAACCACCTGACCAAGCACGTCCCAGAGATCAAAATACTCAACTATCACTTCAACACTAGCACCTTTGATGTCAGACACCTAACAATAATTCATATGGGCCTCTTGGACAGTCCTCTTATAAGCTCTCCTCTTCGGCACAAGTGAAAACAGCTGGGGTGCGAGATCCGCAATACACTGTCCGTGCAGCCATCTATCAGTCCAAAATAAAGTGGAAGTGACATTGCCAACTTCTGACACTACTGCCAATCTGCCATGGAATATAAGGCCCAGACACAACCATGAACTTGAATTGCGAATGCAGACCAGGGTGGTTAGCCTCAGTCTTTTGCAGCCAAATCCATCTCATCTGTAGGGCCCAGTTCAGATTTTGAAGGTTGGAGATTCCTAGCCCTCCAATACCAAGAGCAAAATGGAGCTTTACTTGTTCTTTGACATGGGCATGATTTCCTTTGCCACTGTAAACCCAAATTGCTTATACCAGGTTATATGTGAAATGAGTCTTGTTACAATAGCTCTGCATATTTTGTGATGGTACCATAAAAGAAATCTCTTGAGCAACATGGTTATTAGAAGTTAGAACTTATTAAAATGGAGAATGAATTTGGGCTGCTGTTAATGATAGAGTCAATGGCCAGGTCCTGTAAAGGTTTAAATTCATTCATCATCCTAGGAGTATGGGCTATCTGGACTCACCACAATCTGTGTGTTTTTGACGGTGTTTCCTCCTCCCTGACTGGTGTTGTGTCTCTGATTTTAGAGGAGGTTTTGGAAGTTTTGGCCGGGGCTCAAGGTGTGTCTTATCTCCCTGCCCTTGTGCCACTTGGTATCTAATGTTTGGTCCCAAGCAAGTTATGTTAGATTAGAGACAAAACCTGACAAAAAGACACAGGTAAGAGCATAAATAAGTACTACTAAAAGCAGTAGCAGACCCAAAGCTTTCTAGAAGCCTGGACGGTTTAGTGGGCTAAGCAGCAGAGCAGGCCTAATCTTCTCTATACATGGGCGACACAATAATTAGGCCTAGTGGAGTTGAACGCTCAGGAGTCCGGGCAGAGGCCAAGGGTCTCATCGGGCCATGGGTCCACCAGTGACTAAAAGTAATCATAGTAGTATGATAATAGTATTTGTTCGGGCACATCGGTTGCTGATTCCTATGAGGTCCTTTCTAAAGATAGTATATCCGTTCTCTCAGGTCTCTACTGCCCTCTTCCCATACCAGGTTTGTTCTACCCCCCTGCCTCTTCTTACATTATCGGTAATTCGGGATCCCACAGGATATGCTGCTATGCGCTGGTGCCTGTGGAGTCCTCTGTAGGATATGGCCAAACCATCTCAATCGGTGCCCCCTGGAGGCCTCCATTGGTCAAAAATTTAGATGTAGTATAAAACTAATATAACAAAATTCTTGTTTTCTTTGTTGTGAGTGTTCTAATGTGTGCAGAATGTATATCTTGGTCTCTTGGATTTATAGTTTCTGCCATTAAAACTTTTCCTTATGTTTACACTTCTAGCTTCTTTTACTTGTACAACAATTTCATTCCATTCTTTGTTCGCCTGCCTAATATCTACTTTTTTCCTCTGTCCCTACTATTTTGCAGATATGTCATATGTAATGCATGCAGCAATGATTTGTTCTTTCGACAAAAAGGAACACGATTTTCTAAGCACTTACGTTCTGGGCAACACTCTTTCCTTCACTGGTCTGATACAGCAAGGTGATTTGCATCATTACTACCCTGTATACCTTGACAGCCTGCTTTGTTTGAATATATGAAATGCTTAATAGCACAAAAAAAGAAAGGATTTTTACAGTTTAGGCATGCATACTGCAGAAACCTGGATCAAAATCTTAGACAGCTTATAAGCCGGCTTATAAGCCATGGTACAATATTTTTCTCTCCCAACAAATCAGCCATACAAATCAGCACAAGCGGCTTTACAAGCAGCCGAACAGATCCATACTGATGTGACTTGTATTTTAAAAATGTGAAAAGGGAATAAACCTTATTCTTGACTCATACTGAAAATATGAAGGGAACTAAATCTCATTCTTACCAGAGTGCTATGTTCATTTTTGTTGTTTGTGCATCCTCCATATATTTTACTGCTTGGGCTGAACAACCTTGTTTTTAGAGAGTTGCTGGTCTCCGTTCGGTTTGATGGCCCAGGATGGCAATGGTCAGGAAGTTTTTTCCCTGACCACCTGGGAGATGCTCAATTGAAAATGCGGAATAGTGCCTCAGGTTTATCATATATGGTTCGAGTTGAAGTGCAAAATGCCGATCTAGACGTATACAGCAAGAGATTTTCTGGAAAAAATAATGTCAATACTGGTACAGTACTGATTCTGCTATCTGATGATAAGACTGGTTTTGTACCTTACAGGATCGACAATTTTTCAATGGAGGTAACTAGTTGTGCTGCCTGGCTTTGTTTGAAAACTTAATGATTATCATTCTTATGATTACTCTTTCAATAAATTCAGAAACTGCGGATATATCAACAGAGATGTGAATCTATTGAAACAATTGTTTATCCCTACACATCCTGTCAATATTCTTGGGATGAGCCTTGCTATCCTCATCGCCTTACTGTTGAGGTATATTAGCTCTTTATGAATTTTAGCTTGTCTTAAACAATTACGCAACATTGTTTCTCCCCCATACTATGTACAGATTCCTGGAGAACGAAGTTTGGGTACATTCAATCTGGACATTCTCAATGATGATGTTCATGTGTCGCTACCTTCTACATCCGAGGTAAATGATTGCCTTTAAATTTGACTAGCATTTAGTGTAGTGAGATTTTATAGGTTGTGTCCTTGCTGAGTCCGGGCAAGTAAAAGTCTACTCTTCGGTTTTGTTTCTTGTTGCTTTTGTTTTTCCCCTGTTTTTTGTTTGAGAAAGATAGACACATTGTGTATGTGCCTACTTAGGTGTATAAATGTCCATAGTACATTGTCAGGATGTTTATGGTTACTTGCCCTGTGTGATTAGAGTTTAGAAATCTTTAGTTTCCTGTCCAGATGTTTTTGGGAATGACTTGGTCCAATTTCACATGGAAGCACTAGACAATGACATCAAAGAAAGGGAGAAAGCTTGATTGGTGCTTGTCCTTACATATCGCATTCTTTAACTGATTTTCATTATCAGCGATTGTTTATATTTTGCATTGTTTTCCTTCCTGTTATGTATGTCATACATATCTTTTACAGAAAGCTGAAAGACAATTCTGCATCTCAATACATGCGGAAGGAGCGATTAAGGTCAGTTTCCGGTCCACTATCTGCCCTAGAACTGTCTGATTCATTTCTTTTGTCAATATTTGATTTACAATCATAATATGTAGGTGCTAAGTGTTCTTGATTCAAATTGCCACAATACGGAAACAAAAGAAAAGAATTTTCTGGGATCAAAGGAACCTAAAGTTGCTGATCACAAACTGGAGCTTGATATGAATTTTGCTGAAGTTATCAAAATACACTTACCATTCATCGGGATATCTCTAATAAGTTCTTCTCCACAGGTGAACTGACTATGTCTGTTTTACTATACTTATGTTTCTCATCACTTACAACTTAAGTGAAGTTTGTTTACTATACTTAAGTTTGTTTGACAGGAATTGTTGTTTGCTTCTGCCAAGGAGATGACAGTTGTTGCCATGCAGAGTTTAGATCAGCAGAGATTTACAGCTCAAATACAATCTATGCAAATTGATAATCAGTTCCCTGATAGCCCACACCCTGTCATGTTGTCATTTGAGGGCAGTCATAAGGGAAAATCCATGAACTTTTTTAAGAGTAAAGATACTAAGCTGAAATCAGCAAATGACATTCTTTCCAATACTACAGAGCCTGTGCTGCAATTTGCTGCAGCTAAATGGAGAACCAGAGATGTATCATTTGTTTCCTACCAATATATAAACATAAGGTACTCGTTACTCTTTGTTGATAATTCGTCATATGTGAACTTGTGGTGACACTTTTTGTTTGCTGGTTGGCAGCGTAGCTCCTGTTCGCCTTGAACTTGAAGAACGACTTGTCTTGAGCATGATTGATTTTTTTAGATCTGTTTCCTCTAGAATAAATATTGGACACTTAGAGAAAAGTCTTGAGCTAAGTATTTTAGGTGGTGCTACGGACATGTTAAGAGAATATGAAAAAATCTCAAAGAATATATCAGACAAGCTCCTGGTGCAAGACAGTGAATTGTTGCCTTCTGTTGTCCCAGTTGGTGCTCCATGGCAACAGATACACCTTTTAGCCAGAAAGCAGAAAAAGGTGTACATTGAGTTGTTTCAGTTGACTCCTGTCAAGTTGACTTTCAGGTTATTCTTCTCTAATGTTTTGTGGTTATGACTGCAGGAAATGTATATATATTATTAACTTACCACTGGCAACTATGTTTTACATTGTAGTTTTACGAGCACACCTTGGCTCAATAGGAATGAAGGTGGTTCAGACCCCAGCATAGGTTTCAACAACACTACTGCAATCCAGGTGGAGATACATATCCCTTAACAAATAAATTTCTTTCTTTTTATGAACATTTTCTGTTTTTATAGAGTTATTTAATCTGTCCTCACAATTGCTTGTACAACATAGAAGTTATCTTTCCATGCATTTGTGACTTCATTCTGTATTGCAACTTCTTTACGATAACTAAGAATGGCACGATAATGATTGCATTCCCCAAAAGGAAAATTTCAATGTCAACTTAAGAAGTATGGTGGCACCCTGCCCTGGGAGAACCCCCTCCCCTGTCTCAACCACCCACCCAACACACATGGAACGGCCTGAACAGCATCTACTCAAGTAGCTAAGATTCTTAGCTTGGATAGGCACATGTTTCCAATGTTACAGTCTGCACTTATAAGGTTGCTTACCAACATATTTTCTAGTATAAGTATAGATAATTTTCAGTGGTTCTTTTTGTGTTTTTCCCGTACACTTGCTTTTAGACAATACACAGTTCTCCTGCATGTTTGAGAAAAAAAATGCTTTTAGATATTTGTTTGATCTGTTGGTAGTATGTATGATCTGCATATATATGTTAGATTGTATTGTATCTTTTGCCCCTGAATGTTTCCATTTTGGTTGCAGAGAGGTCTTATGGCCCTCTTAGATGTTGAAGGAGTACCAGTTTACCTTGGAGAAATTATTGCGGAAAATCTTATGGCCAGCTGGCAATCTGTTCAGGACATTCTTGTGAGGCATTATAGCAGGCAAATCCTCCACGAACTTTATAAGGTAAATGGTAGCATCCCAAATGAACTGACTAGAATGCATTTTACAAACCTACCAATATCTTGAGCTATTGAATGTCACTTATATGTGGGGCCAACTGACCATGAAAGGGGAATGACCACAAGGTTGTAGTTTTACGAGTGTAATCCAAAATAGTGTTGGTTTCTGAAATGGGCACAAAAGGATTTGCGACTATTAGCTCAACATTGTTCGGTGTGTGAAATTATGTTCGACTGTTTAATGCAGGTTTTGGGTTCTGCTGGCGTTATAGGAAATCCTATGGGTTTTGCTAGGAATGTTGGGTTTGGTCTAAAGGACTTCATATCTGCTTCAAGAAAAGGGAAATTGCAGGTTTGTAAATGTGAAGTCTTAGCAGGAATGTCCACTCTTTAACCTTCCAGTTTGAACTCAAGATCTATGGGTTGCTCTTTTTACAGAGCCCAGTTGAACTATTAAACGGTATAGCACAAGGTTCAAAAACTCTTATTGGAAGTACAGTTTATGCAGTCAGCAGCGCCACTTCTCACTTCAGTAAAACTGCTTATAAGGTATTTATGCTGATGACCTGTTTGATCATTGAAGAATATATGTTTCCTGAAATCACTGCTAAGGAGAAATTCCATTATCCAGGGCCTTGTTGCCTTTACATATGATGAGCAAGCTGCTTCGAAGATGGAAGAACGGGAAAGACAGCTAGGTTTGCATGGGGAAGGAGTACTGAATGGTTTTCTAGAGGTAAAAGTCATCTCTCTTGATTGTGCATTGCCATCTGATTTCAACAATTTTTCAGCATATGCTTATTTACACTTTAAAACTAAATAATATATGAGTTCAGCCTTGGGATAAACATGTGGGGATTTTTTTTTTCATTTTTCACCATAAATCTTGCTGGACATTTATCTAAGCATAATGTGTGTCCTGCGCTGTAATGATTTTCTCCAGGGTCTGACTGGGCTCCTTCAATCACCGATCAGGGGAGCTGAGAAACATGGTCTTCCCGGGGTCATCTCAGGTACAACCATTCTATTAAGCATTTATATTCAGTTTATTCCCATTTGACCAACAGCATATCTGTTCCGACAGGTTTAGCAATGGGAACAGCTGGCCTTGTGGCACGGCCTATGGCTAGCATTCTTGAAGCCACAGGCAGAACTGCCCAGAGCATAAGAAACCGAAGCAACCCTCATGAATCCAACTATTTGCGAGTCCGTTTCCCCAGGCCTGTTGCCAGAGATCACCCTTTGCTCCCATACTCCTGGGATGAAGCCATCGGTGTATCGTTGCTTGCCCAAGCTGAGAGTGGTAGACTAAAGGAGGAGACATTTGTCATGTGCAAGACACTCAAGGGGGCTGGGAAGTTCCTTGTGCTAACTGAGAAGCTGCTTCTACTAGTCTCAAGTCCATATTTAGTGGATCTAGGATCACCTCAGTTTGTTGGTGTTCCTCCTGACCCACAGTGGTCAATCGACACAGAGATGCACCTCAAGAGCGTTGTTCATCTGGACAGGTCTCAGGAGGTAGTGAACATTGTTGGGAGCAATGGACAGACTTCACCTAGGGACAAAAGAGGTGGCACGAGAAACAGGGTCATGAGCTCGGCCTTTGCCCCCCTGTTTCACCTCAGCATCGAGCTCCCAAATGATGAGGATGCAGAAGGGACGGTGCAGGTCCTACAGGCACTCATCGAGAAGGGGAAGGCACGGAGGTGGGACAAGAACATCCTACACCGAAGCAACATCAGTTGAGGTTTTTACAAGCAACATTAGTCGAGGTTATATGAGCATTAGCTTAAAGAAAAGTTTTGGTTGCGGCACAAGACATTGTAACTTGTGAGCATGCGACTTTGTATAGTTAAAGGCAGAGCAGATACCAGCATACATGATGGAGGAGGTAGTGTGAATAACGCAGTGTTCCATAGGTGATCACCGTGAAGCCATTGGACGTGCTTCGGTTTTTTGCGGTCTAGGTGTACACTTGTAGCTTCTATAAGTTCTGTCGACGGCTCTTGTAAATGAAGGGTGAGGGGCTATGTGTAGCAACACCATTGTAAAGATTTTGGCAGCAAAGATTTTTTTCTGCTCTTTTATGTGCTTTCCCATTCTTGGGCTGTGTTTACAAACTTCGCCAATCTTGGGCTATGGATATTTCTGATTTCACCATAGGGAATTTAGCAGAGGTAGGGGATACGCCCTACCAAACGCACCGAAACAACAGGTCAACAGCCATTGGCTAGAGTAGCCAAACGAACATTAATCAATGAAGTTAAGGTCTTCAAACAGCACATCATAATACCACAGCCTGCTCAAATAAACTTGGTACAGCAGTCACCAAAAAAATGCAATTCTGAGTTTGACTCAAGTTTAAAGAAAAAATTATTAACATTCATTACTCTAAATTATTGTTATCATTTTGAAAATACGTTCCATTTGATATTAAAAAATGTTGTACTTTTATTACATAGATATCGTCCAAACGTAAAACCGTATATACTTCTTAAAAAGGATAATTTAATTGCATCTATCCAGGATTAAGGGAGTACTGCTAACGAGCTAAACTAGAATGCAATGGCCTTTTCTTTCAAAAAAAAAAAATGAATGCAATGGCCTAAAATGCAAGCGACAGGCGATTCCTAAACAACGCACGTTTCAGAATAACAACTCAAGAATCGGTTGAATTCTTGATTAAAAAGGCTGAACAAAAAGCAATTCAACCTCTAGATCAGCGCATCAACCAGAGCATTAACTTTGATTGATTAAAAAGGCTGAACGAAAAGCAATTCAACCTCGAGATCAGCCCATCAAATAGAGCATTAACTTTTGAGGCTCAAGGAACTTGGTACAATAATATAGAAACAAGTTTCACTCTAATAAGATGGTTTGAGGTTCATCATCACATAGCCTCAAAAAAACACAAAACTTGATTACTTGTAACGAAACCCTAGAGACATAACATAAGATAGTCTTGGACAGCATAAGCGAATTTGCTAATGGCTGGGTGATGGGGGCTCCTCAGTCGAACAGGCTGAAGCCCATGTCGTCATCAGACTCCTCCTTAACCTCTTCCTTCTTCTCCTCAGCAGCCGGGGCAGCTGCGGCCCGCAGCACCACCAGAAGGGGCAGCAGCAGCAACTGGAGCAGCACCACCACCTACAAACAAATTTCAATACACCAATGATTAGACCAAGAATATAACTGGAAATTATTATGGACAAATTCAAGACTAAGGATGAAAAATTCAACACGATCTAGCATCCAATTCCAGTATAAACATGCACAGAAACTCTTTGGTGCACCTAAGGAATTAGTATAGACAAAGAAACTCTTTCATGCACCTAACGTAATTCTGGCACAAACCCATGCATCTTGTAAATACTCATGTCAATGTATCTCCGTTTCACTAACATAATTAAGATTGAAACATTGGTGTCACATACAGTGTCAAATTAAACATTGAAAACCTAAGATTTAATTTAAGTAAACAGGCAGATACTTAATACTCAATTAATACAGTATGGTCCAATCGAGTCCATTGTCCGCCGAAAGGTTCAATTACAGTGAAGGTGACAACTTATAATGTACTAATCAGTCAAGTAGAATTTCTAGAACTGACCATATCACAGGGTTGGATAATGAAACAAAGAATATTTAAGACGTCTCGATCAACTTTCAAGATAAAAAAAGGCTAGCTACATAACAGACTAAGGTAAATCTACAACAATTGCCACCACGCAGCAATCCACATATTCCAAACCACGGGCATGAACATACAAAAGTATCTTGAGAGCAAGAGGGGGTGTACCAGATCCAACGGAGAGGATGAGGTCCTCAACGTTGCGCTTCTCCAGGAGCTTGGCGAAGAGCGCCGGCCAGTAGGACTCAACCTTGATGTTGGCCGCCTTCACGATCGTGGCGATCTTCTCGGCCTGCAAGAAGAACCATCACGGAATCACTCAACCGCTCAAAAAACGTTGAGATTAAAAGAGCCGACGGCGAGGGAGAAGAACGCACGGTGATGGCGATGCCATCGTCGCTGAGGATGAGGGCGGCGTAGGTGCAGGCGAGCTCACCGGAGGCCATGGGTGCAGGCGGCTTCCTCTCACCGGATGGATCTGCGGTCTCTGCGAAGAGAAAACACGAGAGAGAGAGAGAGAGAGGTTAGTCTCGGAAGCAGCAGCGGCGGCGGCAAGAGACGGCGCGAATCAGAGGTCAAGGCGACGGCACGTACCAGAGGGAGAGAGGCGGCGACGCAGGAGGCAGGGGGCTTCTAGGGTTCGGAAGGAGGCGGCGTGGGTGCGGCTATATAGGGGCTGGGTTGTTAGGGTTTCGCCCGCAGAAGTCTGGGCCGGACTGGGCCTTATCGTGGGCTTTGTTCCCTGCGTCGTCATCGCTCTTTGGGTTCGACTGACTACAGCACTTTCAATTTTTCAAAGTTTTTTATTTTATCAAAATCTAAAACTACCAAAACCTCGTTTCAAAAAAATACCAAAATATATTAATATAATAAATCACAGTATATACGTAATACTTCTGTCTAAATTCTTTGCCGCTTTCTTAAAAAAATGTTGCGCCACTTTACTGACGAATGGTTGCCAAGGCAATTCATTTTCTATAGGATATAAGATGACCAAAATGCCATCATAGATTTATCTTTCAAGTGTTTGTTTTTTAAACAAATCAGGAGAGTAGCCGATTATATTAAAAAGCAGATGAAGCCCACACTGGGCAAAAAATAAACAGATACAACTCCGATCGGTTGGATTGGGACCTCAACGCGCACCGAAACTCCAACACAAAGAAGGAAAAAATAACTATGGCCGGTCAGAATGGGACACACGCTTCACCGCCACCAAACCACCACGAACCGGTCACTACACTACGCCGCCACCTCCTGAAAGACAAAGCCGTCAAGATGAAGTCGCCCTCGTCATCACTTGCGACATCGTTGCCGACGATGTCCCACACCGAGTAGCCCGCTGCTAAGCTGGGCTAGCCGCTGTGTTCCACTGCAAGCCGTGTAGCCCATCCGCAATTCACACAATAGTAAGATGCATAACAATATTAAAATAGTGTTTCATAAAATGCATGGACATAGCATAAGTTGGCATGTTGCGCAAAATAGAATCCAGCATAATAGTTCTACCCCTCCCTAATATAGTTAGGGCATTTCATTGCCACCCATCAAATTAAGTGCCAAGTATTTGGAAACAAGAATAGGCTAGTCTTGAAGTTGGATTTTTGAGAACGCTTATGGTAAAATTAGCTGGAGTTCTGTTTGAATGCTTAAAGCAAAGAAGTTTTGATGGAAAATGTTGCAATATTCTTATGACCTAATAATTGTAACAGAGACCAAATGCTAACTTGACAGCTCCAAAATTAAAAGCCACAATCACGAATAAATCAATCTTGTATCTATTCTCACCTCTTGTCATACATCCCGTACCCAAAATTAAAAGACATGATCACAAATAAATCGATCTTGTATCTTTTCTCACCTCGTATACATCTCGTATCGTCTATCTACATGCTAGAAATTAAAGTGGGGAATTGGGGAAAAAAAAACAGCTTAGACTTGAAGGTGATGTCCAAATCATCCAAGCTCATGGAATGCATGTGATGCTCGACAAAATCGACTCAACATGCGGTGCATCCGGGGACTTGCTATTAACGCAAACGGGCAATTGCCCAGCCGTCAGTGCCTCGGGACAGATACATTACAGTCTCAAAGGTCATCTCATATAATGCCACATAAGATTTTTAATAGCGTAGAGGAGACAGAGGAAGAGGTAGTTGTTTCATGAAGCAACCACCTTATGAGTCATGCGCAAAAAAAAAAAAAATCACTATTGTACGATTTAATGTTGATATGCAACTCATAAATTTTCTTTGTTGACGCACAAATTAAATTGAATTACTATAAGATAACCCATTATATGAGTTAGTTATTTGATCATTTTATTATTACGTGGCAATTGTTATGATACTATATTAATGTACTTGCCCTCCGCACAGCAGACGGGAGTGACCAAGAGCTGAGGCATTCAGGCACCAAGCAGTGTTAATTAGAATAATATTATTGCACTCAAGAAAAAATATAATCTAAGTTCATATATAGGAAAAAATGCCACGTTCACGGTACATAAAGTCCTCGCTGAGGTAGGAGAGTAGGGGGGTTGTTTGGTTTAGCACCCGTGTAAGGTTGCCTGGCCAGGCGGCCTAGCGCTTGGTGGCTGGAATCGTTGTTTGGCCGGCGTTGGGTTCATAAACCCGGGGTCCCTCGGGGGCCGGCTTCGACGCCCGGGCTCGGCCCAGGAGAATAGCCTATAGCTCATGGGCCAGCCCGAAAAGTCTAAAAACAACGGGCCGGGGGACAGACCGGTCACCGACCGGAAGGTCCACCGAAAGAACGAACGCCCGCTCGACAACTTCTTCGGCCCACCTCTCCGACCGGAGCGCTCGCCTCGGGCACCGGCTGCCTCCGGGCGGACTCCCCGATCGGAAGGCCTGGCCCAAAACGCTGCTTCCTACTCCGACCCCGCGTCTCCGACCGGAGGCTCGTAGGAAGCCTGCTTACCGCTCTTCTCCGACTGGCACGACCAATACCGACTAGAGCCATCCGACCAGGGATTCCCACTCGAAAGGGACCAGGGGCGAACGGAAAAAGCAGCGCACAAAGTCAAAACACGGTACCAGGACCATACCATGTACGCCTGCGGGAACAGTGCTCCACAACCGACATTTGTGTCTACAGTATTGTAGGCGCCGACATTTATGTCTATAGTATTATAGGCGCCGTTGGGGCTCCCATACGGCAAAAAGGCCCCCCATATGCCTCTGCGCATCGATAGTGGGCACCAGGATTCACCATACCTAGTACACGTGGTGGAGCTCCTCATATACTAACAACATTTCACAGGTACCGACGTCCACCCTTCCTGAAGAAGCCAACGCAACCCCATGTGCACCTGACATTCTACAGCGACATCAAATAGTGTTATGCGTGCCAACCATCATCACTACCCTCATTCGGCGTGGGCAACAAGATTTAGAAACATCCGTACTCTCTCCCTCTCACCTGTAAAGCCACCCCCTTTATGTATAAAAGGGGATGCCCTCCCTCCAACAAAGGAGATTGATTTTCCAGAGGTCCACTTCTTCAAGCTCAGGCTCACTAGATCGATAGCTCAGAAACCCCTCAAGCACACGCTTAAACACCTAGCTCATAGCGGAGTTCCGGTCGCCCTCGGCCCTTCCCATCGGACCCGACCGGGCCTCTCGTACACCCCTCCTTTCTCCTTCTCGTTTGTAACCCTATTGCAGACTTCGAGCATCTGGGCTCAGGAATAAAGTCACCAACAGACCCACATTGAACGTAGGGCACGTTGCCCGAACCAGTCTAAATCATGTGTCATTGAGTGCTAGGTCACCTCCGATTACAACGTACAGCAAAACTACAAATATTCACTAGTTGGCCACTTTCTGTACAAACAGCCGGCAAGCCTCGCTATCCAAACAAGTCCTAGGTGACTTTCCCATGTCGGAGTTGTCAGGTTGCTATCCAAACAAGCTCTAGGTGACTTTTCGATGTCAGAGTTGCCAATGAGCAACACCTGGCAGGGCTCATTCTCAAGTGATCCTTTAGAGAAGCTCGCTTGAGGACCTTTTTTTTTCTCCTCCTAAAGGGTCCGACTCCTCACTAATCACTAGAAAACAGCTCCTCCTAAAGCGTTTGATATGGCTCCTCTGGAAAAAGCTGCCGCCGGCCGGAGCCGTGTCAAATAAGCCCCAAGGTAGTCATACTCACACTGTTTTTTAGATTTTGTGAAATAATCGTCTTTTCCGTATCTTCAAATAAAAATTGGGTTCTGATCTGCACCAGCATCTCCAAGACGAGTCATTCTAGATTGTAATGCTTATATTATTTAATTAATTTCACAAAATACAGTAAAACGCATAAGTTAGACAGTTTTTTATAAAAAAAATCTAACACCTCTTTGCAGGACACGTTGCTGGCCACACACCAGAAAAGCAGAATGGTGAAAAGGAAATAGCACAAAGCCGCAGCGATTGGAATAGGCCCGACAACATAGGCATTGCTGCTGCGACATGAGAGACAGACACCGGATCACATCATGGTACAAGACACCACAATGTATCATGGCAACATGCCACCAAGGAACAGTACAGGTCAAAACCGAGATTTGTGGATGAGAACACTCCAATCTGGTGACAAAAGAGAGTACCATTGCTCCAGTGGATACTTTGTTTGTTGATTAGTGGTCCGGAGACCATGACACGGCCCATCAACTCACTACGCAGAAAGAAAAAAAAGAAAGAGCTGGCAATGACAGAGACTTGGAAAACAGGGCGCTCCACTCTATCAGTTGCCATTACAGTTCAGAAACAGGAAGCTTCCAGAGAAAATGCTGTGGTATACCCTGTATGTGGATAAGAACGAATGCTGACACAACCATTTCAAAACTGTCAAAAATCTAAAATTCACTTCTCTTGAGCTTCACACAAACCATTGCTTGAACCAAAATGAGCATGCAGTGGCCCTATATCTGGGACTTCTTCAATACCTTCAGCAGGCTGAGGGAGAACTCGTGTAAGGAGTCCATTCAATCTCAAAGCAGGTAAAAGGAGAGAGAATGCATTGATACACATACCTGTATGAATTCTAAAAGGCGCCATAGTAGGTAGTTGATGATCATAACTAGGCAAAACAGTTTTCGAGCCTAAGATCCGCAAGTAAGATATCTACATCAGCAGAGGCACCAAATGAACTAATGTATTTCAATTTGGATGTCGGTGAAAATGTGGAGACATTGATCATAAATTGACTAAGATCTAAACATTATCTGGCACAAATAATGTATAAATTGATTTAGCACAAGAACATGAGAGGATGATGAAATAAATTTTGCTATAGTAAATGATAGACAAAAAAATCAGATATGCATTGTTTCATTAACAAAATCTACTGAAGAAACAAGATGACTTGTCAACGTCTTATGTTTACTCACCGGGGAAGGCAATTTAGTAAATTTGTTGTTGGAGACTGCATTGCACAATCATAAACAATCTCAGTTCTTTTGGCCACATCATCCCAACTATAAAGTTTTTTCATCTAGGATGCAAAACAGAAGAAGCTGAATCAAGACCAAGGAGCTTGCATACGAAACTGAAACTAAATAGAAGCTAATGAAAAATGAACACAATAGAAAGGGTCCAATCCTAAGTTCAAATAAGGTGTGGAATGTCAATAGAAAGGGTCTAATCCTGAGTTCAAATAAGCTGTGGAATGTTGAGAGTTCAGGCTCACCCGAAGATGCATAATTTGCGGGTCTATGCCAGGTAGCATGTCAATGGCTTTCTTGACAGCTCTTACCATATCTCCAGGAGCTGGTTCTGCAAGCACTATCATGTCATCTGGAAGAACCTGTAAAAAGAAATAATGAATTGCATGAAACTCGAAAATCATCTAACCAAGGTTGGGATTTTCTGTAGAAGGGAAACTTGAGCTCATAACAGCATACCTCAGGGACACCGCCAACTCTAGTGCTCACTGTCAACAGTCCACAGCTTGCTGCTTCTAGAATGGCTATGCAAAATGCCTCTGTAAGTGAACTAAAAATAACAAAGGTTAGGTTCCACTGTTACCACAGCATTATACATGCCTCTGTAAGTGAACTAAAAATAACAAGGTTAAGTTCCACTGTTACCACAGTATTATTATACATAAAATGGTCAAACCCTTTGCATCTGTCCCAGAAATTAACTTGCCTATCATCTAGTTTCTCTATAGCATTATGTTATAATTGACAATGAGGGTAGGTGATGCAAGATGAGCAAAAAATTATCATCCTTCAGTTAACTCCTGATCCATCTAAATATATTTAGAATTCTGAGGAAAGCTTCCAATTACGTCCATGAATAAACTTGTGTATTGAATCCTATTCCTAGTTTGTGTTTTTGGACCACATATTCACAAGAGCACTTTAATAATCTGATATAAGAATGTCAAAATTCTATTGCAAGCACATAAAAGGTATCCCAAATTCAAATGGCTCAAGAATCAAAGTCCATCAAGAAAAAGAGGGACAAACACACTGGAAAGTAGAAACAAGATTTTCAACATGTAATGATGAAAATGTAGGAAGAGTTTACCTGTTCAAAAATATGTGCCCAGATATCAGAACCGATCGCACTTGAGCATGAGGTACAGCTCCTAACATCTCAACTCTATCCTGAAGGGAGAACTTCTCCCTCATTTCTTCAAGACGCACACGTTTTGGACCATCACCGCCAACAATAAAGCGAACCTGGCAAGTACATAGGGTCATTAATCGACAAGATATAACCAACTTACTAGATCCAAAACAGTACATACAACAAGGAAATAATGGTGCAAGATGACTTCATGAAAACAGCCAAACTCTACTGTCCAATAAGACTGCACTGTTGTACACTTTGTTTTACATTCGCAGCAATCAAAACATTAGTGATCAAGAGTGTCATATACTACATAACAAAGGCTCTCCCTTAGTGTGTACATACACAATTCACCAGGGTTATTTGACTTAAAGAGTGATGTAGCTCAAACTCACCTTTGGAAATAGACGGCACACTTCTGGAATGACTTCAACAAGAAGGTCGGCACCTTTTCGGTATACTAATCTACTGATCACAACTATGACTATTTCATCACAGCTCAAGCGCTTGGGGGAGGGAGTAAACATTGCAGTATCAACTGCATTAGGAACCATGAAAACCTTCTCTGGAGATATCCCAGACCTCAAGACGGTGTTCTCTTTGCTTGTATGAGAGACACATATTGCCTGATCAATATCTGCAAGAGTAAACTGTAGCACCTTATTCATGTGAATGCTTCCAGCATCAGCAAAACCATAAAGTGAGTGATCTGTGAAGACAACTTTGTACCCCATCGTCCTAGCATGCATTAATGCTTCATGACACAGTGTTGAAAAAGCTTGATGTCCGTGCACGACAGAAATCTTCTCTCGAACAATTATTGTCCTTACAATTGGAAATGTCAAGAATAATGTAGGAAGTGTATTCTGCATCAGGAATGGTCTCCATGGTACATAATAGACCTTTAAACCGTTTGTGACATATCGTACTCCAGATCTGTTTCCATATGCATGCGTCATGACAACAACCTAGGCAAAATGCATAAATTGCTTTCAATGCTTTGTTAAAAATTTGGCAGCTCACAGTTAATGATTTAACAGTTCTAAATAAGTGTGCCTTAGGTAAATATCTCCTATGCATGTCCATGTCATCCAGTCTGACAGCTTTTCAGTATATGTGCAATATCCTAAAAATCTAGTATAACAGAGATAAGGGTAAAGAAACTGATGAAAGTGGCAGATTTGAGAGAAAGTAGTCATTAGTTTATCGGATGAATATTTGTTTAAGAGTATCAAACATCCTAATAATGGATAAGCAAACAGAAAGCTACAAGTTTATGAGGAAAATAGGACCTTATGGCCAAGCTTAAGCAGACATTGTGACAGGTAGTAGATATGGCTTTCCACCCCACCAAAGTTTGGAAAGAAAAAGTCAGACACCATCAAAATCCTGTGCTTTGTGCCTTGCTCATCCATTATGTCTGAAAACTGAAATCCAAAACAAATAAGCATAGCATCATGTAAGACAACAGGGACGGAAAAGGACACTGAGCAATATTTTTAGTTTTCATTCTAGTCTTCTAGAGTGTTGTGGGTGTTTGATTGTGTGAGTATCGTTGGGGTTTTCTTCCCCTGTTTTTTAGATCTTTCTTCTTAAAGAAACGGTACACAATTCTCATGCATGTTCGAGAGAGAGAGAAAAAAAAAGCAACATGATGCACCATAATATAGTAACTTACAATGCCAACCACAATATTAAGGATAAGCATCTTTGTTCCAATAGACTACTAGTAGGCATTACCTCATGATGAGGATTCAACCATACAAAGGGCAAATGAGAGTTTCTCTTAAGGTTAAAGCCATTTTTCATTCACCCAGTTACCACTGTCCTCTATTTCTATCTTTTGCTTTGCTAGCAACGTGTTGTAGTGAACCACTTTTATTTTTGTTGCCACAAATTTAATGCATTTGTAACACAAACCACTTTTGGTGTTACTTGCTAAAGGGAAATCTCATGTTCAGTTCAATTCTGGGTGAAGCTGCTACTTCCCAAAAGCAAGGTTCTGACCGGCTTCCCTTGGAAATAGCATTGCTGAGAACTCAAGGAAACCTGACTGTTTGGCAACATGGCATTTTACTGCGCTGGCTGGCGGACACGGACCATAGTTAAAAATTCGAAAGACTTTTATCCTCTTTTTTGTTATTGTCTGTTTTGAACAACTATGAGATTCAACGATACTTTCAGTGGCAATTTGATTTATGCCTCTGCAGCGCCCACCGATTCATATATTGTCGCTATTGTTTATACTAATCTTTCCTCAAAAAAATTGTTTATACTAATCCTTTTATGATGTAGTGTAGTGCAAACAGTAAACGTGTAAAGCATCTCCAGCAGGTGAGAATACCACCACAATGGCTAGGGGGCGGGGGGCGGGGGGGCGCTACTACAGTTTTTGGGGTTCCAACATAACCGCATTCCCACCGAATGAGATGTCGATAAAAACACTCATCACCCAATCCGTCGGTCTACCGAGCGTTCGAGGCCGCGCTGAGAGAGGGAGGCTGAGCGCTCACCGGCTTCAAGGACCAGGTCGGCACGGGCGGTGGCCAGATCGAGCCGTATTGGTGAGCTTGGCGTCAGAGGAGGCGATGACCGGCACGGTGCTGGTGGTGGAGGAGAGGAGGGGGCGGTGCGGCGCGGGTGGAGGACTCCAGAAGGAAAGCAGGGGAGAGAGCCGGCGGCGGGGGCGCAGGGCGCCGCGGAGACCGAGCGGAGCGGGGGATACGATCATACGAAGGGGAAAAAGTGACTGTCAGGTGGGCCTCGCTTCAGGTGATAGCGAGCGATCTTGATATTCTGATGCTAGCCGTTGTTATTTTACAGAGCTCTACGTTTTCAGCCTTTTTACAAGCAATTGTTGCTATTCACTAGCTCTTAATAGTGCATAGTCATACAGCCTGTTCGCTCGTTGGTTTCAGCCAAATTTAAACCAGCCAGCCAACAGTATTTTCCTCTCACAACAAATCAGCACCAGCCAGCCCAAACTAGCCCAGAAACCAACAAGCGAACAGGCCGATAATCTAATGTTATATGTAGCCATTGCTTATCTAACTCTAATGTGATCTTTCGGTGTATGAGACAAAAAAAAAAATCGGCATGCTCTTTTGCATGACTATTCTTAATATGATAAAGGTATATTTTTCTCTTTTCTACCAATAGGTATTCAGTGCAGGGTTTGCTTTAAAAAATTATGACTTTTACTTGCAGAACATGACACGAGGACAACAAGCAATCTTCATCACTCTCCCCTCAAACGTTTCAAGGCAATCATTCTCACAATAGTTAGCACAAACCTATATCATGGTAGTGTCAGGATAGAAACACCCGAGTGGCATATCTGCGGCTTGCCTTATTTTGTACTCTGTTCTAGTCTTGTGTAGACTTTTTAAACTTACGAATAGAAAAAATTTGTGTTCATTCTAATCTAGCATAAGGCACAGATCGTGTGGACCTTGAGGGCCGGTTTGGCGGGGTGCCAGCTCCACTTTTAGGGCAACTTCTTTGATAGAGTTGAGGTCATTTTGGGAACGATAGTGACATGATGACGACATCCATCCCGTGACTCCTGCCCGGACACACTCCTGCAAAAAAATCCCCGTCCGCTCATTTCACTCCTCGCGGCGCCTCCATCCCACAAATCCCTCACGGCGCCTCCACCCGCTGCCCGTTGCTGCGCCTACTGCCTGCCCCATCTTCTCGTCCCTCGCCCATATAGAGCTCCGCGCCGGCCCCTTCTTCCAGTCCCCGCCTGACCAGAGCTCATTGGCAGCAGTCGGCCCCTTCCTCCCGGCCCTCGCCCGGCCAGAGCCCGGCGGCGGGCTGCGCCATCGCTGGCATGTCCCCGCCTTCTCCTCCGCCCGCTTACGACGGTGGCAGCCCGCATCCCGCCCAAAAGCTCGCCGACGACCTGTCCCCGCTGCCCCCTCCACTCGCCTTCAGAAGGGGTCGTGACGGCGCTGCCCTCCGCCTGCCCATCCCCCCGCTTGCGCTATGTCGTACAGAAGAAGGGTGAAAAACACATGTTGCAAGCCTATGTTTCAGATGTTTCATAGGTATGTTGCAAATGTTTCATAAAGATGTTGCAAAAGTAGATTAGAATCTTTGTATATGTTGCAATAGTTGTACACGTATGTTGCAAGATTTTGTTCCCAATGTTTCATCTGTTTTTCAGACGTATATTGCGAGTGTGTTTATTTTAATGTTGCTTATGTTTCAAACATATGTTGCAAGTGTTTTATGTAGATGTTGCGTATGTTTTACAATGGTTTTGATGTGTTTTTTCCAAGTGTTTCAAATGCATTTTTCAAGTGTTTCATCTATCTTGAGACGTATGTTGCAAGTGTGTATCTGAATGTTTCAAAAGTAGATCGGGTGTTGCATCTCGCTTCCTCATTGCCTCCAGCTGCCTCGCCTTAGTGTCTCCACCTTCTCTCAATGCCGTCTGGGCATTCGAACCAGAGGCGCAGGCGGGCACCGCCCCTTCCCTTCTTCTTGATGCTGGCGGCGCATCGTGGGATGGTGACACGGCTTGGGATGGCGGTGCGACGGGGGACGGGCCGCCGCGAGTACACGCGGGCGCATGCTCCTTCTGTTTCGTTACATGGGGGAGGGATATGTGCGGTCGTTTCTTCTATTAGGCACTGAGATCGGGTGGCTCCTGTTCCTCGAATCGGATGGCCCCGAGCCGCGTCCAGACATGTCCTCGAGCCGGATGTCCGTATGCAAGTCGTCCCGTTTTGGAAAACGTCAGGAGAATCGGCACTAGTAGCAGTTTTGTAATAATGTTATTATGTTATTATGATGACTAGTAAATTGCATTCCATAACAGAAAAGCATCCAAAAATTGACCTTAGTTGGTCCAGTTGGTCCTACAATGTATCACGAGAGAGATACAAATATGACGTGTACGATGCAGGCGTAAGCGGTAGAGTCTTACCGCCTGTGATCGGAAGGTCCCGGATTCAAGTCGCGGTCTCCTCGCATTGCATAGGCGGGGGTAAGGTTTGTCACTGACACCCTTCCCCAGACCCCGTACAGAGCGGAAGCTCTCTGCACTGGGTACGCCTTTTTTTTTTTATGGTGCAGGCACAGCTTACTTCAGTGACGGCAGGAACCAAACCAGCGGCAGCGGCGTCGCGCACGCGTGTCGCAGCACGTCACCGCCCACCGGCTCTGCCCGCCCGCTCCTCAGGCGAAACGCGCAGACCACCTCTTCCAGCTCGCCGCCGATGAAGTAGACGCAGCTGGCGCTCACCCCCGACACATCCCCGGCGCGCACGGCCACCGTCTCGCTCCTCCCGACCAGCACGGCCCAGTCGCCGAGATCCGCCGCCACCACCTCCCAGTCCCATCCTACTGCCGTGCGGGCGTACCTGACGACGCCGACGTCCGCTATATGGTACCGGTTCAGCTTCTTTTCAGAGTCGTGTTCCTCCGGCGGCAGGGGCTCGGCTTCCCGCGACGCCCATATCTGGTAGAGCTCGCCGTCGATGACCACCAGGTGGTTCTCCACGTGCATGTCCTCGCCTGGGACGAAGTAGTCCAGCGACTCGGTCATGACTAGCGGATCCGCGAAGGTGCTCACGCTCGGAGAGTAGCAAAAATCGTCGTCGTAGCCGTCGCCGTCGCCGTCAACGTCGTCGTCGTCGTCCTCGGTGGCATGGTGTGTTGTAGCAGCAGCAGTACAGCCGTCGTCGTCGTCGACATCGTTATCTGCGCCGCCATGGACGGCGAG